TCCTTCCCTTCCCCACCACCATCCAGTCAGAGCTGAAGAAGCTTCTGGGATGAGAAGCGAAACATCTTCGAAGAAAACGTGGAAGTCCAATGGCCTCCTGAAAAAGCACCTTTGGGACAACCATGACCTGGAGGACTGGGAATATCCATAGACTTTTAGTTATGCATCCTTCGAATGGTGTGGGAGTATGAATGGGTTTCTGAAAAAATAATTGGAGACTATAGGAACCATTTGCACCACTCAGGTGACCCTGAGGACATAGACAAACCTCCAAGTGGCCTCAACGGCCCTCTAAAAAGGATGCAAATGACCAGCTCTGTCTGCAAGGAGTATAAATCCTTCCCTTCCCCACCATCATCCAGTCAGAGCTGAAGAAGCTTCTGGGATGAGAAGTGAAACATCTTCAAAGAAAAAACCAGCAAGTCCAGTTGCCTCTTTTAAAAAAGCACCTTGTTATTAACCTTGTTAATAACTTAACAGCTGCAGCGATTCATTCGACAACCGAGGAAAGAAAAGGTCGTAAAATAGAGCTAAAATTCACTTAACTGTCTCACTTAGCAACAGAAAATTTTGGCTCAGTTGTGGCTGTACGTCGAGGATAACTAGACTGCCCACATGGAGAAAGTGAGTCAATGAGAAATGGCTACCAGGAGAGCGTCCCCTTCCTCACCTTGACCATGGATCAGCATGGCATCCACTGCCCCTTCAGGGGTCCCTTTGTCCACATGTCGCCACACTGGGGGGGGGAATAAAAAACTAGATCAACCTTTTAAGAAGGCCTTGCACCCACAGCAGGAGCTGCGCTCTTTCCCATTTGGGGGAGGCCCTTTCGCTCCCCGGGAGGCGCTCTAGGCAGGGACCCCCCAAAAAAGACACTCACGGATTTCACCACTGCGGGAGTTCAGCGCAGCCACCACGTTCTCCTCCGTAGCCACGATCAGTTTCTTGGAGGCAGGGGAGGCTTCCAAAAAGGCGAACTTGAGCTTGCCCACGTACTGCTGCCTCCTGCAATAACATGCAAAGAAAAATCACATTTCCGCACGCTTCCTGCGGTCATAAATGGAAACAGCCAGGAGGGGTTAGAGATATTCTCTTCGCTGAAAGGAAAATAGGGGTCCTGGGGTGCAACTCTCATCCGTTCCCCAATGGCCATGATAGTCCAGCCACCCCCTCCTCATCTTCTATGTAATTTATTTATTTGTAAAATGTTTTGGCTTGCCCATCTTATTACAGAATTAACTGTGAGTCTTACAACCCCAAAATCTTAAATATCTGTAAGATCACACACCCTTTTCACTCCACAAAGCGCAAGGCTCCCCCGGGCAAATTGCATTAGTTCAGTGATTTATTTAGTGTATGGCAAATCACACGAGCATTGATGAGGTTACCTAGTTGGGTCATGAAACATCTGCAAGAAAATATCCAAGTTCAGAGAGCACCAAGGACCCCACAATCCTTCTCTTCCTCCTCTACTATAAATACCCCTCCCTCCTAGCACTGATGTTACCTAGTTGGGTCATGAAACGCCTGCAAGAAAACCGCCAAGCTCAGAGAACACCAAGGACCCCACAGTCATCCTCCTCCTCTCTGCATACTCCACTCCCTTCTAGCACTGATGACATTACCTAGTTGGGGTAATGCAAGAAAACAACCAAACTCAGAGCACCAAGGACCCCAGTCATTGTCCTCCTCCTCCTCCTCCTCCTCCCTGCACATCCCAAACCTCCTAGCACTGATGATGTTACCTAGTTAGGGTCATGAAACATCTGCAAGAAAACAGGGAAACTCAGTGAGCATCAAAGATCCCTCCTGTCAACCCTGAGCTACAAATATTTCCTTCCTTCCTTCCTCTACCTGTCCTTCCATATTTCCAATTCATTTTCTCCTTCCTTCCTTTCCTTCCAGTTCAAACCTTTATTATCAATGCACAACATGTGTAAAATGAGATTGAACAAGCCTCCCTTGGTGCAGCCCACCCAAGAACACAGAATACATCTCAGTCTCAATAATGAATAAATAAAAAGAAATCCCTAACCCCAGGTAATAAATTAGCACACATTACACACACACACACATATTACACTGGTACATACACTGGCACTGTAAGTCTGTCACATTAAGACTGACTGACTGTGGAGTTATGTTGCGTTTACTAGTCTGACGGCCCATGGATAAAAACTATTTTTCATCCTATGTTCCCTTCCCCTTCCTTTCTTTGGTACTAGCACTGATAATGTTACCTAGTTGGGTCATGAAACAACTGCAAGAAAATGATCAAGTTCCTCAGAGAGCATGAAGGACTCCATAGTCCTTCCTTCCTCCCTCCTCCCTTTCTTTTTCTTCTCCTCCCTGCAAACTCCACTCCCTTCCAGTACTGATGATGTTATTTAGTTGGGTCATGAAACGTCTGCAAAAAAACCAAGCTCAGAAAGCACCAAGGGCCCCTTGTGTCAACCCTGAGCTACCAATATTCTTTCTTTCTTTCTTTCTTTCTTTCTTTCTTTCTTTCTTTCTTTCTTTCTTTCTTTCTCTTTCTTCTTTCTTTCTTCCTTCCTTCCTTCTTTCTCTCTCTCTCTCTCTCTCTCTCAAACCCCCTCCTGTACTAGCACTGATGATGTTATCTAGTTGGGTCATGAAACGTCTGCAAAAAAA